GCATTATTTGTGTTTAGCATTTTCAAGTAATAACGTAACGCTTTCTTGTGCACCATTTTCTAAAATTCCTCATTGTGTATGCTAAAAAAAATAATCATTGTCGACATGCTAGTGGAATGTCTCTAAAGCTGGATGTATCACTTCTTTTTTGGCAACAACTTTGTGATAGATTACCACAAAGTTGTGGACYGACTCTGGATGATGATGAGTTCTGCAGAACTTGGCGATCCCTGGGCTTTTCTTCCATCCCCGCCATGAGGTTTACATTAAAGAATTTAAAGAGAGAATAAATGAAAGGAGAAAGAAGCTCTATGTGATTCATTTTATAGACAGACCTTCACATTTTGGAGAGTAAAGTAAAACAAAGAGAAAACTAAAGTGGTGTATAGAAAACAAAACAATACATCAGTTTGTTTAAATGACAAACTAAGGCCTGTAATCAGAACACCTTGTCACATTATGGGCGTATGTTTTGCTTTATTCTTGAATTCAGTATTTAAAAGTTGTTTCCATTAGTTTTGCTCAAGAACTTGAGTTGCAATCTCCAAGATTAAATCCATACAACGCTGTGATTGTGGCATTTTACATGTAACATCCTGATAATGTTTTTGTAATATTACAAGAATCACCTAATAAATGTGATGTTGGTGCAATGTTGCTGAAATAGCAACGAGCTAAAGTTTTTCTGCAAYGTCTCTTGCACTTTAATCAATAGTCTTCCTAAAACAGGTTTTTGTGGTTTTTTAGCAACATCCATTCGTCCGTCCGTCCATCGTCTTCTGCTTGTTCCTGGGTCACATCATGGGTGCTATCATCTTTAGGCTTAGACATCTTCTAGATCAGTGGTTACTAACCTTTTTAGACTTGTGTGTCCCCTGAGCCATTTTATCATATCTAGTACCTCCTCAGTCAAACGTAATGATGATTCCAAATCTATAATGTGCAATAACTGATTATTAAATGAAAATTATTTAACCCCATGGAACGTTTAGTTCTCAGACATTTTATTATTTTCAAAGAAAGATAAAGATAAAAAACATTGCCTTGAAAGTGAATAAGTAATTACATAAATAAACCAGGTAATGGCAGGTGCAGGAAGCAGCACCATCCAAAATACGTTAGAGATTTGCCCAAATGAGCAAATTCCGTGGGATTTTGTGTTTTATACTGGATTCCATTTTGTGTCAAATCTGTGGTTTTTGCATTGCCATTTTAATAAATTTTTTTATGCACCTGGGAAAATTTTCTACGTACCCCCTGTAAAAGGCTTGCGTACTCCAAGGGGTACTTGTACCCCTTGCTGGGAATCACTGTTCTAGCTTACTGGTTTCTAACCTATTTTCCTCAAAGCCACCCTTTTCTTACTCCCAAGTCAAGCTGAGCACCCCAATCCCTCGCTACGCCCCACCTGTCCCAGACATGTTCAACTTTAATCTTTTTATAAAAGACTTATAAAAGAATAAAGTAAAATCTAGAGTGGCATATGGACAATGGTGGGCATTTCTCAGTAACTTGCCATTTCTTTCCTGAAGTCCAAGTTCTGCTGAGATTTAATAATTCAAATGGACTGGTTTTGTGGATTTTTTCATATACAAACAATAAAAATATATTTTCACAACCTCTGAGCACAGAAGGTTATGCCCCCAGTGTGCTCTTTGGTGACCCCCCCCCCTGGTAGGGAACCTCTGTTGTAGGACTCCAAGGAGTTAAAAATCAGCAGAGACTGTCTCTCCCTGGAGTCTCCTCCCAGTTATACATTCCTGGAAAACCTCCCTATAAGGAGGCTTCCAGGAGGCTTCCTTAGATGCCTAAACCACCTCACCTGACTCATCTCGATGTGAATAAGCAGTGCCTCTACTTCAAGTCTAGTTTAACTTCTCTCATTTAGAGTCCAGCTATCGTAGCAAAATTCCAGAGAGTGTGGTGGCGCCAGTGCATGGCATCCTCGCCTCACCGTCAGTGTGTAAAATRGGTGAATAACTGTAGTGAAAAGAGATTTGTAGTCCTCGGACTTGATAAAGTTCAGGCCATTTACCATTTAATCTAAAGAAATTCACCAGTGCTGTATGTGTTATGTTATTAGTGACCACATTTACACAAAAGGTTGAGGTTACAAAGAAACCTAGATTTGAGCAATATGACCAGCTTTATACTAGTAGTAGAGCATAGTCAATCCAGTTAAACTCAGCATGTTGAATTTTGAACAAAGCAAGGGACAAATGGTAGTTCACTGGTGCCAAAAAGGATTAGGACATAATACGATCAGCTATATCTTACTTTCAGGCAGTTCTGCTTTGACTTTAGTTTCAACTGCTTCATTGATCCATTGCATAATCGATAGATGTACAACACCCTGCCTGCATGGAAGAGAAACCTAACCACTAACATAGTCAGCATGATAAAACAGTACACACTGAAATAAACGCCTTGTCGTCATTTAACACACTGATTCTTAAAATCGCCTACAAATAATTTATGCGCACTCAAGCACTCTCTGTAGCTCCTTTTTACCTTGTTGCATCATCTTGCATATTTATGCGGCGTATCGTGTCGAGGTGGCTACATTTTGCAAGGCTCTTATGAAGTAGGTTATGAACAGTGTCGGCTGCAGCTTCAGCGGGAGTTGTAATAAAATTTCCTTTGTGTGAGAGTGGTGGTGAGGAACGAGAAATATTAAAAGCAGTGCTGTAGCATGCTGCATCAACCTATTTCATTTGCTCCGTGCTGTCTGTTTGGCCTCAGTGAAATCAGTGTGATGGTATGGAAGTGAAAAGTAAGGAGGCGACACTAGATTTTGCAAATCAGGTTATTGAAGAAAATTTGTATTATTGCAGTCATATCTTACTGGAGTCATATYTGATTTTATATTAGGAAATTATAAGCAAATAATTTGGATAAATCTTGCTGCTTTGCATCCAGGTTTCTGGTGTTTTCTCTTAGTTAAATATATGTACTGATGTGATTTTCCTGCTATGTCAAGYCTTAAAGTGCCTGTGACATCAAATTTTTGTAATATATATGAATGCATGTTTGGAAAGATAACAATCATAACATATTGCAAAAAGCAAAATTTGCGACACTGAGACAAACAGCTGTTGAGATATTCGTATGTGAAATAACAGGAAGTGATGTCAAAGGGGAATATCAGCATGAAAACAGAGCGTTGCTATAATGGCTGACAACACAAACTGTAGAGAAGAATCTGATGTTTTTTTTAAAAAAACATCTAATAAAACTTTTTTAGAGACACTATTAGAAAGATGCAGAAGAGTCAGAGTTCAAATGATATTATTTCGATAAACAAAGACCAGGGAGTTCCATTTCTTAAGGCGTTCCCCTTTGGTATCACTTCCTGTTTCCCTTTTACTGAGCCAAGTTCTGAAGAAAATCTGCCAGTTACAGTATGTGACCAAATAGGTAAAATCGTGAATAATTAAGTTTCTTAAATATAAATATGTTTCCTTTAACTTTTTTGTTTGTCAAGGACATGCAAGCTACATGCACTTTAAGCTTACGACTGTGTCTATGGTTAGAAAAATAATAAGCTTTTTAGTTTACTGAGTCCTCTGACTACTTTTTTTTTTTTCACAAAAGAGCTATAGCCAGAGATAACCAGAGTTGATCATCTGTCTCTGCTTAAGGTCAGAAAAGAATAGGATAAAAAAAATCACACAAGTCTAACGGCAGCTGACAGGGTCACCCTCCAATAGCAGGTCAGCCCTGACATTTAGTTCACTTGGTGTGTTTGTGTGTGTTTGCCCTTGTTTTTGCTACTTGGTGGGGACAATTTTTCAGGAAATGCAACCTCGTGGGGACTGGATGCTCCTTGGGCCAAGGTGTGAATTGAGTTTAGATTAGTTTTAGGGTCAGGTAGGTACCTGTGAGGTTAATTTTAGGGTAAATGGTCAGTGTTAGGGTTAAAATTTCAAAAAAATGAATGGAAGTCAATGAAAAGTTCCCACAAGGATAGAGAGACATAGTAGGTGTGTGTGCGTGTGTGTGTTTGTGTGTGTGTGCGTGTGTGTGTGTGTTTGAGACTATGTGTGTGTCTTGGCTTGAACAGTCTGTATACAGCACGTCTGTACGTTCCTAGTTGGTTGACCTTTTGCTTTCTTTGTTTCCTCAGTTTTCAAAACTACCAAATATCAGAAGAAGTTTGGGAAGACTTTTGACGTCTTTGTTCTTTAGGAGGTCATTTGTGACACTTCAGTAAATAGAGACCTAAACTGAAAACCAAAGCTTGGCTCCATCATAAACTCATTGTTCCTCTGCYACATGGAATTCACATAGGTGTAAGAAAACTATTAGCGATGTGTTTTTATGATGYATACTTTACACCATTACACACTTTGTTGTAGATTTTGATTTTAACTACAACTTGAGTCTCTTTTAAAAAAACTAAAATTGCATGCACAAGTTTGAACTTACTATGGACTTCTTTAAGTGTAGGTGGAGAATTTGGAAGCAGTCCTTTTTAATTGTCATTTCCATTTTGCACAATGCACCAGTACCACAGCATGATGCTACCACCACCTTGCTTGACATTTGAATCGGTGTTCCAAGCTTTTTATCTTGACTTTTCCAAATGCACCTCTGTGGCCAAACGGCTCAATCTTTCTCTTATCTCACCCAAAAGAGTCCTCCTGATTGTATTTGGCTTGTCTGTGTGGGTAGCTTTCAAATGAGATGTGTCTACTGGTGTTCTAACAGTTTCCAGTTCATGCCAGGCTTGGGCCTTGGTGGTTRCCTGCTTGTTCCTAAACATCCTCACCAATTTTTTGTCCTTCCTAGATCTTCACTAAGGTCCTCAGAGATCATCTTACATTGGTCAATCCAAAATGTGCTCTTAGACTTGTGCAAACAAAAGAAACTACTAGTTGTAGTTTAAAGACAGATGCATGTAAACCTCTGATCTTATCTGTATTTCAGTATTATGCACAAGTGTGACCCTTATCTTCTTCATTGTTCTTGTCCTCTTCTTCATTTTATTTATTTTTTAGTCCCATTCCGACTCTCCGGACCCCCTCCTCACTCCCTCAGCCCATCGGAACCTCCAAAGTTCATCAGGACCATGATGCTCAGCAGCTCCGTGGAGGTGCCCAGCTCGGGCGGGATAGGTGGCCTCAGTGGACTGAGCGCGGCTGCTCGGAAYGTGGTGCGCTCCTCCAGCATCTCGGGGGCCATGTACAGCCTGGACAAAAGTCCCAGCAACGGGGGTCCAGACTCAGCGTCGCTCACCGGCAACAAGAAGCGGCGCTCCAGTCTGGGTGCCAAAATGGTGGCCATCGTGGGGTTGTCCCAGTGGAGCAGAAGCACACAGCAGCTCAACCAGCAAGGTCAGTTCACTGTTACTAAAATGTTTTTATAGAATTCAGTTTTCACACTTTTATTCAACCAAATAAACAGTTTTTATCCATTTAATACATTTTAAAAACTTTTTCCACCCCTTTTTTCTTATTACTTCCTTCTTTCTTTTGATCCTTTGTCAGTTTTAATCTTTTCTCTTCGCAGTCATCTGTTTAGTATATATTTTATGAAGTCTCATAATCTCAATTAACCATCAGAACTAACATTCTTTAATGCGTTTATGTACAGTAGTAGTTAAAACATTAAATCCGGCATGATAAAAGTGTTGATTTTTGTGTTTGTACAGCAGTACTATCATCATCCACTTCAAGAGGAGCTTTGTGGCACACTGCTGTAATTACAGTACATGTAATATCTCACTCAACAGGCTCTTAGAGGCTTTTTTTTTACAGACTGGAGCTCTGTTGCGAGCCAAAGTCTGCTGTGAGTTTTGCAGCAGCATGCAAGCATTGTGACTGTTATGGCGGTGACACCGGCTTCATGTTCTAATATGTCCCCTGTGGCGAATAATTACAGATCCTCTGTAGCTGCAACAAAAGTGCTTCTCAATTTGAGCCTCGGTGGCGAACAGAAGCCCACTCTTTTCTGCCATATAATGGGTCTAACATGTCACAGACTGAGACTTTGTAAAGGCTGAGAGGCAGCACCAGAACAGAGTTAAAGCATTTTTTTATTTTAATATCTGTACATTAAGGCCCTGCCTACACTACTCTGGATTTTAAACTGACGTATTTTTTCTTTTTATCTATGAATTTTTGTTCACTTATTCTAACAAATTACTGAAATAACCTTACCTTGACACTAGTTGGCAAGAATGTCCATATTAAAAACAATATGTCCACATTAACAACAGATTACTGTAAAATACAGAAAAAAGAAGATTTTCCCAAACCAATTTGTTATTTTCCCTCTTTTAATTCTGTTTACAATTTCCACTTATATTAATATTAAAGCACACAGTCTAAATACAGTGGTTACAGGATTGGGATAATTGAGAGACAGATGCAGGAGAAAATGGTAAAACCAGCTCCAGTGTTGATTTAATTTCTAAGGGTACATTCATACTAGGAAAGTCCTTTGGTCCACTTGTTTGGACCAGATTAAAAGCGGGCTTTATTTTTTTCATTTGGTGCACTTTGCATACATGACATCTTGTAGTTTTTTGCAAGCAGGCTATAATTTATAAACAAAGCCATGCGAGGGACGGTCACTGCTCCCATTGGACAGAAAATGACCGGGGCAGGAAAGAGCACAGACCCGGAAAGAAATATGTTGTTGTTAATACAACTGCAATACCATTTAGAATCTCAAGAGCAGCTCATTCACAGGATGTTTCACGATGATATACTTCTAATTTTGGGACAGCATTGGCAAATACGTGCCGCAACCCAAAGGAGATGAGATGCTCTGCTTGCTCATTGTTTGTTCAGTGGTAGCATTAGCAACACTGAAGGGCTAATTGTTACCATCACGCTTAGCAAAGGTGGCTCGTGACGTTCCAAAAGGCGCATGTTTCCTGTAGTTGGTTCGGTCCGAGGCTGGTCTGTTTTCACACTAGAAGCGAACCAGACCAGAGTTCGTTTGGAAGCGGACTGAGACCACCTCAAAAATGGGTCTTGGTTCGGTTGCTCGGTTTGCACCAGGGTTTAAGTAAATTCACATCTGCATAAAAGGTCCGGATCAACAGGGGAAAACAAACTCAGGTCCATTTAAAGTGGACCAAATGTGTCAGCGGTGAATATGCCTTAGGACTCAAAAAGATAGTGGCTGAAAATAGGTGTCTTTACAGAAAAACAAAACATCAATTTATCATGTAAAAAATTTACAATAAATCCATAAATAAATAAATAAATCCATACAGTGGGTAAAATAAGTATTAAACACGTCAACATTTTTCTCAATACATATACCGTATTACTCGAGGTGCCAATGAAATGAAATTTTCACCAGATGTCGGTAACAACCCAAGTGATCCATACATACAAAGAAATCAAACCATAAATGTCCAGAAATGAAGTTATTTGTAATAATG